AGGCGATCCAGAGAGACAGAGACGCTGCAGGGGGCCTGAGGGGCGCTAGTGACCCCAGGCTGTGAAGGCTGGAGAGAGAATGAGGAGGGAGAGGAGGGATCAGCTCCCAGCCCTGCTGGTTCACCCCACCCCAGCCCACTTGGCGGTGGCTGTCCATCCTGGGATCCTCCACAAACCATCCCCCAACCTCCCCCGCGGGCTCCTGTGCTCAGAGGGGCCTGCCTAGGACAGGGCCGACCCCAAGGAGCCCAGCAAGGCGCCTGTGCCCGAGTCTGGGTTGTGGCTCTGCTGCCCTGGACACAGCCCTGGGCTGGGGGGCACCTCCGGGGGACAGTGTCTGCCTGGGAACAAGAACGAAAGGGCTGAGGTGGAGGTCAGGCGGGCGGGGGGTTAAATGTGGGCTCCTGGGAGCTGGAGTCTCTCCTGGACCGGGCCAAAAGCGGGGTCGGAGGGCTCGGGGCTGCCCAAGCTGGCCCCTGCTTTAACTTTCCGTTCTCTCCTGCTGTCGCAGCGCTGGCTGGGGGGGGCTGCCCTGCTCCCTTTGGGGGCACAAGGCTCTCCTTGCCCCCACCTCAGGCGGAGTCGCCGAAGGGAGCTCGTGGCCTGCAGCAGGGGTGCTGGAGGCACTGAGGTTTGCGCCCCGGAGGCAGTGGAGCTGAGTGGCTTACCCCAGTGACAGAGTGAGAGCCTAAAAGTGGGGGTCCTCCAGGGACTGTCCCAGAGCACCAGACCTGTGGATCCGTGGGGGGCTTACTGGAGGCCATGGGGCACTTTGGAGGTGGAGGGGCATTTGCGGGGGGCTCACTGGAAGTCATGGGGTGATTCAAGAGTGGAGGAGAATTTGGAGGGGCTCACTGGAGGTCATGGGTGCTGCAGGGGTAGAGGGGGATTTGGGGGGCTTGCTGGGAGCCATGGGTGCTGCAGGGGCGGAGGGGGTTTTGGGGGGGGTATCCTGGGTGGGGCCCCAGGAGGCAGAGGAGGAATTCGGTGCAGGGACTTGTCCAGCTCTACCTTTGCCCTTGAGGGCCTTGCTGGCATCAGCATCTCCCAGGCCTGGCTCCGAGCACGGGTCGCTGGGCTCGTGGGCTCCATCACCCAGGCCTGGCCGCTGCTCCTCATGGGTACGGTAAGAGCACCCCTGCCTCTGGCACCTCAGCCTGTGGACACAGTGAGCCAATCACCGCCCGCCACAGCCCAGCCCCCACCCAGGCCCACCACTAGGACCAGTGACCCCCATGCAAGAGCCGGGTTCCCCAGCACCCCCAGTGCTCCCCTGCCGCACAGGAGCAGCCCCAAGGCAGCAGGGCCTGGGGGCCAGGGGAGAATCACTCCCAGGCGTCCAGCACTGGAGCTGCCATGGGGCTGAGCCCCATTTACCCAGCAGAGCTTGTTCCCTGAGAGAGGGCAGCGAGGGTGCAGTGGGGTGACGAGACAGACTGTGATGGCGGCATCCGTGGGAAGCAGATGGGGGGGGCTGAGAGCCCAAACGGGGGACGGAGGGGTCCACAAGAGGCAGATGGGGGATGGAGGGGCCCACGGGAGGCAGATGTGGGGACAAAGAGGCGCATGGGACACAGATGGGGGATGGACAGGGCAAAGACCCCTATTGGAGGCAGATGAGGGGTGATGGGGCCCATGGGGAGCAGAGGGCCCCACAGGAGGCAGATGGGGGATGGAGGGACCCATGGGGGGCAGGGGGCCCATGGGAGACAGAGGGGCTCATGGGAGGCAGATGGGGGGTGGAGGGACCCATGGGGAGCGGAGGGTGGGGTGGAGCGTGACTCACCCGTATGTGTATCCTGGGGGCAGCGGGTAGGGGATGTGCCACCTAGGCATCAGGAAGAAGGTGCGGGTCAGGTGCCAGGCACTGCAGGCCGAGAGGAAGAGGAACATGGCTCGCAGGGTCAGGCCGTGCTCATACAGCAGCTGGGGGTGAAGGAAGTTGTCAGCGGGTGCATACAGGGCCAACCTGGACTCAGTGACCTGTATTGTTCATAGGGTGGCTCCCAGAGGCTGAAGCCAGGATCAGGGCTCCCATTGTGCCAGGCACGATGCAGACTCATAGCAAGGGACATCCCGTGCCTTGAAAAACTCACAGTCTCAACAGATAAGAGGAAACTGGGGTACGGGGAGGGGAACTGACTCAACCTCCCCGCCCTTGTGTGTCAGTGACAAGGCCAGGAATAGCGCCCACATGGCCTGATTTCCAGATCCGTGGTTTAACCGCACCCACGCTTCGTCCTGCCCTCATCCCAACAGCCCAGCAACAGACTGCCCCCCGAGTGGCTCAGGCTCCCTTCATACATCTCAGCACAGGGCTGGAAGATCATCACGGGATTATTTCTCTCAGCCAGCCCTCGCTGCAGAGACACAACCTCAGGTTGGTTGTTCCCATGCAGCGCATAAACCCCATGGCAGCACATGGCCTGGAGGAGAGGAGAGGGGAGAGGAACAACTCACAGCCAAAGCCAAGGGAAAGAACATCGAAGCAGTGGGAATCTCCACAGCTAGGATCTGTGCAGCGCCCGGCACCACGGGGCCTTGATCTCAGCTGGGGCAGGGCCTGTCTCTCGCTGTGTGTCTGTGCAGCACCTGGCACAACAGGGCCCTGATCTCAGCTGGGCCGGGCCTGTCTCTCCCTGTGTGTCTGGGCAGCATCCAGCCCCACGGGGCCTGATATCAGCTGGGGCAGGGCCTGTCTTTCGCTGTGTGTCTGTGCAGCACCTGGCACAACGGGGACCTGATCTCAGCTGCGTTCCAGGAGCTACTCTACGTGCTCTCGTGGCACGGGGTGGCTTGCCCATGGGCTGGAGAACCGGGGCTAAGCCAGTCCCTTACAGAATGGGCCCCATCTGGGACGAAGCAGGGCTTCCGCTGCTCCCAGCATGAGGGGGTGACAGAGAGGAGATGCTTGGGCTGAGCCAGAGACACAAATCTGAGACGCTGTGGCTGGCTTGAAGCAACAAGACTGGCTCCCGTGGAGGCGCAGCCCAGGTCTGGGAACAAGGGCCGGGAACCCCCTAGCTAAGGGGAGCGAGACGCTGTCCTTGCGTTGGGGCCTGGAGGGCTGGAGTGTACCAAGGAACTGAAGAAATGAAGGGGGAAACGTTTCAATTTTCCTCTGGCCTGTGTGGAGTTGTTGGCACAGGGCGCCCTGTGAAGGAGACCGCAGGGGTGGGGTGCCGCAGAGGCACCTCTGACCATGAGGGGGCGCACGGGAGGCAGTAAGTGGACAATGTGCTGCACCTGGCTTCAAAACGGCTGCCTGGGATGGCTGCAGATGTGCATGGGGTGCGGGGCACCCTAAGCCGGTAAAGCCTCTCTCAAGAAGCTGCTCCCAGCTGCACTCGCAGCAGAGAAATGGGGTACTGGAGCCTGAAGACTCGAAGGCATAGGGGCCACCTGGCCTGGTGTGGTGCACCCAGCACACTAAAAATGTACCACCAGGGGCAGAGCACAGGCTAGAGGCCCAGTACTATTTGCTGGTTACAGTAGCACCTCAAGGGCTCTATGGAGATCAGGGCCACCCTGTGCTAGGTGCTGTAATCCAGAGGGAGACAGTTCCCGCCCCGGGGAGCCAACACCATCTACATGGACAAAGGGCAGGAGGGGAAACTGTGGCACAGAGAGGGGGCGGGACTGGCCCAAGGTCAGAGCAGGAGATAGACGCCAGGTGTCCTGAGGTCCAGCTCAATGCTCTCTCCATTGGGCCACACTGTGTTTCTACTCCCCTGGCTGCGGACAGCCCCAGTCCTGCTGCACACACACCAGTGGTTTTCTCTGGCCCCCCTGTTGGGCTAGAGCTGACTTACTGCCCAATGTTGCTGCCCCAGAGGGCCAGCTGGGGCTGTGCACTGGCCGAGCTCAATCCTGCACAGGTGAGGCCAGTCTGGGGGGGGATCGAAACGCAGTGCGAACCCCAGGGGCGTGCAGGAAGGGTGAAACATTTGCATGTCACAAGGTTTAGGAGGTGGCTGTATCTCAGGAACTCCTTGCTTAATGGACCCCAAATTTGCACCTTTAACCCTGCCCTCGGCCCCCATGGAGCAGAGTTGGGGTTTCCAGGAGGTGGTCTGCCCCACCCTTCCCACCCTCCCTATTGCTGTCTCCTCCAGCCACCTCCTCTCCCCCCGACCCCCGGAGCTAGGGCCCAGGGGCTCACCTTGACCACAAGGAAGACAGCGGAGGACGAGTCGAAGGCCCCATTGTAGAGGGTGATGATGGTCGAGCGGTGCTTCCCAAACAGGTTCCCCACCTGGAGGAACGATACCCCCCCACACCCAATCATCATAGAATCATAGAATATCAGAGTTGGAAGGGACCTCAGGAGGTCATCTAGTCCCACCCCCTGTTCAAAGCAGGACCAATCCCCAACTAAATCATCCCAGCCAGGGCTTTGTCAAGCCTGACCTTAAAAACCTCTAAGGAAGGAGATTCCACCACCTCCCTAGGTAACCCATTCCAGTGCTTCACCACTTTCCTAGTGAAAAAGTTTTTCCTAATATACAACCTAAACCTCCCCCACTGCAACTTGAGACCATTACTCCTTGTTCTCTCATCTGCCACCACTGAGAACAGCCAAGCTCCATCCTCTTTGGAAACCCCCTTCAGGTAGTTGAAAGCAGCTA